ATGTCAGGGTACAGTGGGGAATGGAAAAAAGGGAACTGCCATGTTGATTTAGAGCTTGGGGCTCCACACACACGCACACGCACACGCACACGCACACGCACACGCACACGCACACACACGCACCTTACGAGCTCATTCCTGGAATTGATACGACAAGCCCAAAAAGCTGAAGTGTAACCAGGCTTTGGCGTGTCATGGAGTGGATGTTTTAAGTTTTAAGATAAGTCCCACGAACTGGCACATCTGCAGTAGCAGGATGCGCGACAACACAGCAATTTGCGGTCAGCCAGCTGGCATAGACCTCAAACCAACCGAACCCGTGTTCAGAGACACCCAGGCCGGTTGTGGGGCTTCCATCCGAGGTGGTGTGCTGTGGCTGCAGAAGGATCTAAGGGGGTTCGTGATCCAGAAAGAAGGATTCAGATTTGAAGTGTTCTGCATTGTGCTTTGGAGTACTCAGCCTCATGAACCTCTTAAGCACTCCAGTTAGTGGTACCTAAACAGGCATGTGCAGTCGAGAGTGAACAGCCTATGCTGGCTTCATTTTGCTCTGCAGTCAGAGCTCAGGTCTTGGCTTTTCTTAAACGGGTTGAACTTAAGGGTCCCCGGACTCACCCATGTTCAAAAACGACAAGAAGCAATTCTCATCATCCTTGCTGTGGGGCTTCCACGTGCTAGAAACCCCTAGATCTCCACTTGGGCCACGTGTGTAGGAAATCTTTTGCCGTCTGCGCACAATCTGCCAAGATTGTCATCTTCTTCTGACAATCCCCAGCACCCCAGCGTAATGCATGTGTGGGCCTTTGTGGTGGGGTTGTGCCGGTGATGGCCCCTTCTCAACGTAAAACTGACCTTTGGCCGCCCAGCTGCTTCGATCCTTACATTCTTACACATTGAGATGCAAGAAATCCTGCGATACCCGAGGCATGTCACATCCTAGGACGGTTGTGAAAGATTTCTTCCATCAACAGCGGTTTTCTGTAAGAAGTACTTCGCTTGAAGGTATGCTTGGATGCGGAAAATGTGTCTCAGGACATAGCCACTGTGAATTTACATGGGAAGCCAGTTGGTACGGCAGAAAAACGCTTCGAGAATTGCAGAAGCCGCGCCATGTTGGAGGCATCCTGATTTTACAAACCAGCCCTGAACTTTGCTCCCATACCTTTTACTGGAAGCCCTAAACTTAGCCCATTCTCGGCCCAGGTACACCTTTACTGCTGTGATCTCTGCTGCTGTCGTCCTGGGCTTCCTCTACCATCTCTCCCAGGTGTTCACGGATGGAGAGTTTTGGAGTTTGAGATGTGAGTCTGAGCAGAGGGATGAGAATTTTGAGAGATTTGGGCAATGATTTGAGTTTATGCCTGCCTTCTCTCTTATTCCTGATCAAGCGCGCTTGGGGCATCAGATCGCAAGACTGAAGGCCGGGCTGGGATGTATGCAGTAGTAACACCGTCCGAAAAAATCCTCCTCTTTCTGAATGCCAGCTTGCTATTCACCTTTCTTTCACCCACAAGAGCTCCAGAGAGTCCAGAGTCTACAGAACCCGGATCTCCATACCCTAGCCGGAGCGCTTCCCTAAATGCAAAACCCTGGATCCTACTTGAAGTGCGCCACACCTTTACATAGGAACTTGGCAGGAGCTGAAATTGCACCGGCGGTACTCCCAGACTGCCGTGTGCCCTGGCTGTTGGTTATTGTCATCTCCACTCTCCCCGACCCCAAGGTTCTTGTTCTTCTACCCCAGATCCATTTTTTATGATCACCCAAAAAGCTTGAATCCTGAAACGTACGCCCAGGTTGCTCCAGCGTCCGGAGGGCCGTAACCCTCAGCTGCGAGCGGCGTTAGAAAGTTTTCGGAAGGCCGGGGCAGCGGGCGGCTGGCTACGTGTAAAGGGTTGAGGGATGGGTTCAGGGCTTTGGTGATGTGATGTGATGTGATGTGATGTGATGTGAAGGATTGGAGTTTAGGGACGAGTTGTGCGGGAAGAGTTCATAATTTCTGGTTCAACTTAGTTACAGGTTTCCCTGGTCCCTCATATGATGCAGACTTATTCCCTACATAGTGCGACACCGCGGGGACTCTTTTTGGGTCCTGACTGTTCCTTTTTCAATCGGGATTTCGCATACCTACTGGGTCAACAGGCCAGGTTGTCACTCGCAGTTTGCGTCTGCCTTGAAACAAGTTAAAAGCAAGCCTTCAGCCTTTTGTCCAAAGGGCTTCTGTTCCCTGCGCTTATCTTAGGTCACTTGCTTTGCTTGCAGGCTTTACCTAAAGCGCGGAGGGGCCAGCAACAGTCAGGCCCCACCTCAAGGCCACGATGCCCTAGACACCAAGCTTTTATTCCCAAACCGCAGACCGCACAGACTGAACCCCCAAAACCAAACCCTAACCCTCAGCCCTTGAATCCAAAAACCGCCAAACAAAAGAATGCCAAACAATTTAACCAGTAGACACATAAACCACTCACCCACAAACCTTTGATATTCCGCAAAGCTTTCCCCAGGCAGACGGGCAGCCGGAGGTCACCGTGGCCGCCCATGCGGCTCACAGGGCTGCGGCCGGCAACGAGGCGGGGTGGAGTCTTAGTCTTTGCTGAAATTGGGGGTACTTTGGTGGAGTGTTGGGGAGGTGTTGGGAGGTTTGAGGTTTGAAGGGTACTGTAGATGTTGTAGTTGGAAGGGGGTATGTTGAGTGTTTGTGGTGGGGGTTTAGGGCCTGCGGGTTTGTATTGAATCAGAAGTTTTAACCTTTTGTCTTGGAGTGCTTTGGGGTCATTGGATGCCGGCTTTTGCAGGTTAGTTCGAGGTGGGTAGCGGATACGGGAGCTGAGACTACCTTGTGAAGTGTACAGAGCGAGGGACAGATTTTCTTCAACCATCGTCTCAGTGTAGAAATTTGACCGACCTTTCTAATAAGTTCTTGCATTCCTTCCCAACTTGTCATGCGTCTAGGTCAGATGGAAACACCCCCAGAACAAGCTGCCAATAAGTTTGATGACGCTCTGTGCCTCAAAAACAAATCCCAAAATCCTACATGTGAGTTTCCAAGAAATGGAGCCTGCCTCTAGAGCTTCCGAAACTCGAAATAAGCTTTACTCAAAGGATTCCACATGAAGACCTAATATCTGATCTCCCACAGGTCCGTCCTTGTACAATCTTTAGACTCCAAGGGGAACCTCGAATAATGATCTATAGGTTCTACGGGTCCCTTGGGGTTTCAGGGGCCAGTTTTTCAAGAGTTCAGGGGTTGAGGTGCTTCGTTGGGATATCTGGGATGAAGTAATTCGTCCTCTCATTCCGCTCTGAGAGCGTTTGAAGGAATGAAAACTCGAAGCTCACAGTTTAGGGATTCAGGGGTCGGGTTTAGAGGGTTTGGGGTCGGCAGGTCTCCTGGCTGGAGAACTGTGGCGCGGACAAAGGCTCGAAGGATTGGCCCTTTGGGGCTCAAAGTCCTGGTTTGGTGATTTACAGATTTTATGGGTTTAAGTGTTAGGGTTCAGGGGTTCGAGTTTTGGTGTTCACGATTTTGGCTGTGAGCTCGTCAGCAAGATCAACTTTTTGTTCGCTGTCCTGCTCAGAAGTTCCTGGGTTCAGGGTTTTCTGCAACTATGAAGGCCTGGGGGAATGTCACGCGATCACCGCGTGAGCAACGCTTCGCCCCCAAGAGCTTTCACTCCCAAGCTCGGAACCTGAAGCGCTGAATCTTCGCTGCTAGAGCCTTGCACATGCGATTTTTCTAACATTCGCAAGAAGCCCTTGGTGACAGAAGTCTGTCATCGCTCGTCGCTTATCATTCCTGCCGTTCCTATGAAAGCACGACAGGTCGGTGGAGTCTTTAGATGGGTCTTTGTTTTCTCTGATACATAAATACATAAATACATGTGTGTATATATTGCGACAGTATCAGAACTGCATTGAGGCTCTATAGGGAACCTGAAGTTGAAAGACACCAGCTGCTAGTCTCATGTGGATGCAGGGATTGAACCATAGTTGGCACCGTAAGCCTTCAGCATTCATCGTCATTGACCTGACATCTCCACCAAGAGTCTTCCTGAAACGACCTGGAGAAAGAGCCCCAGACCCTAAACCTTGACCTCTTATGCCTGCAGCTTGCCGGCCACTTCTCTTTGCCGGAGACGAGCGGGATGATACACCTCTGCACCTCACCGCCTGGAGTAGTGCCTAGGGTTCAGGTTTCGGGTTTTCAGAATTAGAGGGACATAAAGCAACTAGAGCAACCTCTTTTTATGGGTCTCGGCGTTAGCAATGAGGGTCCACGGGCTAGGGTTTACGAGACCCAAAAGGCCTTAGGTGGTAGAAAGTTGTGGAGATGATTTTAGGTTGTGCTTTTTGGAGAGCGCAGGGTTCTCCCTTTCGGGAACGTGGTCTACGCTTCGGATTGTGCTTCCGATCAAAAGATGAAAGAGGAGTTTAAGCCATCCCAAAGGTTCACAGAAGCACCGTGTGTTGATCCGTTCTTGTTGCATTTAACCACTTGCCCAGCTGTAGCGGGAAGCTGAAAAGGTTTTGTGCACAAACTATGAGTGTGTGTGTGTGTGTGTGCGCGCACGCGCGGGTGTGTGTATGTGTGTGTTTGTACACCCTGTGGCCAATTCAAAGGGTTTCTTTTCGATGCCCATTTTACAGGATCGCAGGGGGCATGGCGCCTTCGCTCCTAGCCATGCCAACGAAGCTACGAAGCTTAGGTGGATGGAAGTGTAGACGTACACTTCTGTGCCTGCACAACGGTCGGCATGGGTACCTTCGGGTGCAGCTTGTGACCACGATTTGTTTTCCCATACATACAATTTTCTGGGCGCTTGGGCATGACATGTGATGACATGTGGTCCTTTTGCGATAATGATGGAAGCCGTCTGAAAGCAAATATTTTCAGCCGTGACTCGGTTTCAGCCGTGACCTGGTTTCAAGTTTCAACTGTGACTTGGTTCTATGCAGTCCATGCAATTCTTGTCGCACATATTCCGTTACTTGATTCGAACATACGGTGCATACATGTCTTGACAGTGCGGACATGTCAGTACATGCGTTCCATGATTATTCTAGCAGGAACATGTCGTTGCCACTATTCTCTTCTTACGATTCCCATTCTTATTACCAGGTGCTGAAACCCCTTTAGTTAGGACCTCGATCGGTCGCTCGATGGTTCGAAACTCAGGGGCTAACCCTCCTTTCTCCGTGTGTTGCGATCCACTGGTGACGGATGCTGCAACAGGCGGCAGCCCTGCAGATGTCATCATGTATGAGGCCCGTAAGCACGCCGGGTATTGGATTGACCCGTTGCAGCTTACTTCAGAAGACTGTTGAGCCTCGTTTTTAGGTCCATGTGGATGCTTCGGGAGGAGCTTCAGCGCCAACCTCGAAGTTTTCCGATGCAGGTTGTCGGTATCTCAATTAGCAGTGGTGCCAAGCTCAAGCTTCATTGTCCGTGCCCTGAATTTTTGAACACAGCTTAGGCAGTGCTCGACTTCGTTTACATTTTTTACGTCCGTGCCTTGGCACCAGCCCGTGACAATGCATCCCATTCTTGACATTGCGGCACCCACCGCATCTTGGCACGCAGTGGTGACCTGCCTACTGCCTAGTTTGCCAATGCCACGTTCTCAGCAGTGCCCAGGCACACTTTGGCCTTGGTTGATGCGTTTGATGAGTTGGACTCACTTCCTACGGAAGTTGCTAGGACCGTTATGTGGTAGTGCTTTTGCAATGCATTTCTCATATTGCCATATTCAAAAGCATTTGAGACGGATTTTTATCGTTGTGGACCTGCACTGATGAAAACCTGAGTAGTGCGGCCGGACAACACGAGAAGGCAGGTGGCAACGGGGTGTTGGAGTTCGGAGGGCCTCGTCCTACTATTGATGTGCGACGGAGAGTTCTGGCAACTGCTGTGTCGCAATCAGCTAGGCGAAAGCTTAGGGCATGAAGCAAAGCTCCGAAGGGTGGGACGAACCTTCAGCTTCAATCTGTCTCGTAGCGGGCCTGAAAAACAATAGGGGCTTCGAAGACACATGAGCTCCTGTGTCCCACAGAAGTTGTGGGTCATTGCGGGGTTTATTTTGAGAAGGTGTGCCAAGATGTGCCATGACAAGGCCTTCGGGTCAAGCTGACGCTATGAATGCGCATCGAATTATGTCGAGACTCTATTCTGACGTCTGCCTGGCCACATACGTGAGTGAGCCTTGGTCTCAAAATGTTGGAACATTTACGCCCGCATTGTTTACATGGGATCACGCTGTATTGCTGTTGTCCATAAATCGCCGCAGAATCTGCCCCTAAGCAGATCAATGTCTGAGATGTGCTGGCGAGACATGGGGTATTGATCTCCGCACCAGGGGTCAGGGAAGCTTGAGCTTTGTTTGTCACGGGCCATCCGATTACGATTCAGTTTTGACTTCTACGATTCGCACGGCCACTGTTATTGTTGGCCTTTGTAACGAACAGTCCAGGCTTCAACATCTCTAGGATCCTCAAGAGGAGCAAAAATTCCGTAAAATTCCGTGCCTTCTCAAGGCTTTCAACCTCTGTGTGGACGCGGATCAAGTGAGCGTGCGGCATGAGGAGGGCGGTAGTCCGAGTACCAGGCATGCGCAAGACGTGGGAAGGGACGGAGCATGATAATTTGCGTGAACACCAGGATTTGACTGGATGGACCCCACTGATTGGACCCCGCGCCAATGTGCATCCGAGTTCAGCCATGAGTTGGCAAGCTGGTTGAAAAATGCACTGCACTGCGAGGGCGTGTGTTGTCTCACGTCTAAAGGGATTGGAGTTTAGTCTTCTTGCGAGTCTGTCCCAGCACGGCTAGTCTTCGGACTTTTGAAACTTACGGTTGTAGGGGCTGCTTAACGTCCTGATCATGTTCCCGTTGCGTGCCAGACCTCTCGCAGTTCTTCTGGTTTTGAGATACATTTATTGCAAAAGGTTCCCAGGACAAACAAGCCCAGCAGCTCTTTACCAGCCCAGCAGCTCTTTGCCGGCTCAGAAGAGTCTTTCTTCCGCATGGGTTCAGCTTCTGTATTTAGTTTTCCAAAATGTTTTACCTACGCGAATTTGGAGTTTTGCATGTGCGACGTGTGATGCCAAAGGTATGTGGTGGACTGAGTGTCCTCCGTCAGCAGTGGGCTATGAAAATTTCTTCGGCAACGAAGTGGTGAAATTTGGCCTTTTCAAAACCCAGGTTGATTGGGGAGTCTTGTTAGCCAAACACGCGCCCCATAACTTCCTAACCCTATCATCTTAAGATCCTGGAAATGCGCATCGTCAGATCGCAACCCCCCAAAACCCTGCCTGTTCAACTTCAGCCCTCCCCATTTTCCAAGCACTCGCATACATGTGTCTAGGAAGCAGCAGCAGGACGTCCTTAACCCACATATATACGTTCAAAGTCTGAAAGCCCTGCCCCTCAGTCCTACCAAACCCCCAAACTACATCATTCCTTCGCAATCTCACCGTGATCCCTCTAACTTCAATCTCTCCCCAAGACCTTATCGGTGCTAGTAGCCGAGTAGCAACTTACAAGTTAACACATGTCATACGACTACGCTGGGCCTGCACAACGGAGAATCCAAACCCCGATTCCACCCTAAGCCCTGAATATTTCCATAAACACCAAATCGTGCAACTCAATTCGCCCGCGGTGAGCTCCACAGCCTTAGGCCCCAGACCCCATCTTAAACCGCTAAACGTATGAACCTTACAACCTGCGCTCGTAACACGTGAACACGCAATTCCCAAACCCCAACCGCCCGTGCACTGAGGCATCATGGAGCCAGGGCAGGTCGCACGGAGGCAGGCATTAACCATTAGAGGGAGAAAATGAAGAGGGAGGAAACCATTCGAGCAAATGCTTTAGAAATTGCTGGGGTAATGTTTAGAGGGTTAACGTTTGGGGTTTGGGGTTAGGGTCTTGGGTTTAGGGGTCGAGCGTGCGATGCGTAGAGTTGATGGTAGGAATATTCAAGCTATGACAAGGTTATACCAGTTTCAATCTTACAGGCCACAGGAATGCGCTAGTCAGTAGTGTTTTGTAACGGCATTACCCAGGATGGTAATAACTTAGCTCTTCGGGCCTTTTGATTTCGGTGTTGCCCTGATGCGTGCAAATAAACTGCCACCTAGGAGTGAGACAGAGCGAGAGAGCAAGATATGCAGAAGAAGCACATAAATTAAGGTACAGATAAATGAATATATATATGATACATACACAAGCAAGCAGGAACAACTTGTTGAAAGGCATGTTGGCTTTTGCTGGTAGTTCCATCAGTATTGTTCCCGTGAATGTTCATGGCAGGTTTAAGCTTCATGGTGTCAGAGTTGGGGATAGTTGGGGCAGCATTGGGGTGCATTGGGTTTCATCAGGGTTCAGGCTATGGTTTCAGGGTTGAGATCCTGAGGATTCAGTATGTTTTTGCGGATCTAGGATGTGGACCATGGGATTTTTGGACTTCAGCATTTGCCCGTTCAGGTTTCAGGTTGTGCTAGACCTCGTCTGCCAACCTGACCTGCCTGCAAGGCCCCGTTAAAAGTTGTTTTAGGGCTTCTTGTCAGGTTCCACACCCGGTCATGTGTTGTATCCTCCTTGCACCCAAACGCCTCAATTTCTAACCCATTCTAACCTTAAGCCAGAAATTCCCTGCCCTGAAAGCAACACTACCCAATAAAACCTGGACCGTTCCAATCTCTACCCTGAACTTGAGACGTCTAACCGTGAACCAAAATCCTCGTAACCCAAACCCTAAACATAATTTCTAAATGCTACACATGGCTGAGGCGTGTGCAGCGTTAATTCGCCTGGGAGCAGACCCGAGCCGTTTGACCCTGGCTCCTAGTAGGGTTGCAAGCTTTTGGAGCTTCGAGTTTTCGGGGTTTCGGGTGTAGGGAGCGATAGGCTTGAAGGCTTTGGTATGTCAAGGACGCATTTTGGGACCTCAGGAACCCCAAACCCTAAATTGGGGTCCTACAGCCCTTTAAGACTAGGGCTGCAAGGATTCCATGATGTGAGGGAGGGTCAATCTACTTTGAAGAAGCCAAGCCCTAGACCTTCACACCGAGATCCGGAACTCGAATCACCAATCGCATATCCGAAAGCCGTACCCTCCCCCAAGCAAATATTGTGCTGCGTAAAGCCCCCATCTAAACGGGCAGTGCAAGTCCTGAAAGCCATTCAAGAGTGCGTCTGCCAGTATCTAGCCTAAAGCCCAAGCAAGAAACACGAAGCCAAAAAACAAGTTCCGCAGACCTCAGGAATCGGTTTGGTCTGGCTCCCGAGCATTTGGCTTCGCAGCTGGGTCACAAGGCCATGGATGTCTGAGTTTGGGGTTTACACACTTTAAGGTCCAGGGTTCAGGGTTCAGGGGATTAGGTGCAGGCTAGGGATTGCGATTTAGGTTTGAATACCATTCTTCTTGTGTATGTTGGTGTTCATGTCTGGTCTGCTGTAGGCCTCGGATCTCCAAAGGCCAGCTTTAAAGTCAAAGGCCTTCGCGGTTCTAAGTCTGAGTGCTTTAAGTTTGAGGATGGGTTTCTGTAAGCACGAGAGCTTGCACCATCGTATTTGCCATGTGTTTAGGAATTGTGGTACTTTGGAGATCATGCATGGTTCCATAGTAGGTTTATCAGGCCTGCTTGCGCGTTGAGAAAGTGTTTTTTTTTTGCAGCATTGTTGAATGATGTTGAGGTGGTTGAGCAGCGTTGCCTGCGCAATTGGTACAGTCTGCATCTCAAACTGTTATCCTCCCACGCTGTGCCTTGAACTCTGGACCTAGCGCAGATAAATCCAGATAGACATCCGCCAAAAATCAGCCGAATCTCATGTATCTTCGTGCCTGAATGCAGCAGCCTGCAACCAACAAACGTCAAGTTGGGTGCTCAATGGTGGGAAAGCTCCTCCGGCCCGCTTAGCAGACCCCGGTAGGTCAATGAACAACTGCATGGTGCTGATCCACTAACTCACGAACCTGCGGAAAATCTTGATGGCCCTCACTAAGCCTAACCCAAATGTCCTAGACCTTGACCCTAAAAGTCCTCAAGTTCTAAGCCCTAGAGCCCCCCAAAGTCCTGCAGCCCTGCAATTACAACATGGCCCCCAAACCCTAGACCGCAAAGCTTTCCTAACCAGGACACGGCCTTCGTCCTCCGAAGCGTGCGCGCTGCCCGCCAGGGCGCTGCTGGTGCCGCAACGCAGGCTGCGGCCAAGAGGGCGATGCGCGGGCACCCTGAGGGTCAAGCGTTGATACAGGACTTGAATTTTGGATTTAGGCTGTTCGGTTTTACATTTAGGGTTTTACTTCTTTTTAGTCCCTTTAGTGTTCAGGGTCTAGGTAGGTTTTGGATCCTGACTGTGCTTTCTGTTGTGCACGTCGGGTCCCGGGCGTAGTTCCGCTATCATAGAACCTTATCTGTACTTTGTCAACCTATGCTCAGTTGTCCGCATGCACGAGTGAGTATGGCATTGTGCTTCTGTAGTCTCTGGTGTGGGGTTGACTGGTAGTGTAGGTTGTCGTTATCAGGAGTATTGTCTCACACGTTTTTACGCGATTGCCATTCCGCTGTTTCTTGGCTGGAGGGTGTGTCCTTCGCATCAGTAGTTTCGCTGTTGTCGAAATCATTTGTTGCTGCTCGTGTTCCAAAAGCTCTTAACTATCTAGTCATGGAGGGTTGTGGCCATGCTTTGCAGAGTAAGCAGATGGAAGCTCGGCAGCGGGCACATCAACTACACACGCAGGATCCTAAGATCCCGTTCACCTATATCCCGAAGTCCTCAGCTGTTGAGCCCATGAATGTGCCCTGATAACTACAACTCTTATGACATGGATCCCGCAGACGAATGCACAACTCAGAAGTTCCTCAAGTCCTTCTGGAATCCTGAACAAGGACGGCCAGAATCCCTTTCAATCCCATGAATCCCCAGGGATGTTGAAGGACACCATCTTTGAGAAACTCCCATGTTGGCACGTCTCCAACACATGTTCAGCAAGGCGACACCCAGATGACCTGGGCCACTTAAAGGATCCGCGAGAGGCCGAAGGGTTTATTTAGGGCTTTGGAAGGCTTACTTAAGTGAGGGTGAAGGCGGGGCTCATGAAGGGTTTTGGGCTCACGGCTAATGTGGATGTGGGGTGCAGGAGCTGGCATTGGAGTTATTTGCTTTACGCCGAGCAACCTTTCGTGGAGCTTTGTCATTCTGGTGTTGACTTGTTGACAGCTGTTTTTTTTCTTTTCTCTCTTTCTTTCCTTGTTGTCTAGCTGCAGCTTAATCTTAACGAGAAGGAACCGAACACGACGGAATAGCCATGTATACCCCACATGCAACTGTGCTGGGTCTGTCGTTGCTTGGACAGGTTTGGCGTTGATCCCGCGCATGTGCCTGTAGCACGAGACCCCCCAAAGTTGTGTCAATCAGAGAACGGCATGACAGGCCCTCAAGAGCAAACACTGGTGAAAGCCTTATCCCAAAACCTCAAGCCTAAACACTGTGTCCTTGCCCATAGCCTTGCCCCCGAAGCTCTAAATCCCAAAGCGCCACAAAAGGCATATTTCCATGGCACAATACCCTGAGAAACCTCTGGGTTGTTCAGTCCCATGGTTCTCTTGTAAGTCCTCCACAATGCTTGCGGAACCCTTGAACCCTACCCCTACAAACCCAAAACTCAAATCTCTCGTGCAGGCCCTCAGTGAAGTGGCGGCAGAGAGCCTCCGTCGAGCCGTCCGGGGCTAAGTTGCATTTTGAAACTTCATCATGGGGGGGGGTGGGTTATGCAGACAATGCGTGAAGAATGCATTGGGATGATGAAGGCGGAAAGAGAAACAGGCATCCGGTTACAGTGGAAAGATAGAAGCTTGGACCAAATTTGTGTCTAGGCCCCGTCGGCTAGGTTGTGGACATTCAGCTTCTACTTTCAATTGAGCTCATGTCAAGCAATCGTACATACAGTAGCATGCTAGAACTTCTCTTCGCCCGCTCGTTTTACCAATTTCCTCTTGCAAGAAGCCCTTCATGATGTGACTGAAGCCCCCAGGATGCAGCTTAGACAAACCCAGAGAATGTCAGTCAGAAACAAAGGGCCTTCCCGAAGACGTTGAATGTTGGATCTGATACTTCGAAACAGCACCGCACGCCAACAACCGTACAGTTTGATGATGTGATTAAAATCCTACTGGGCCTCGAGAAGCCGTCAGCCTTCTCCCTAGCCCGACTGAACTGCACAATGCGCTTGAAGCCCAGGCCCGTATGTCTGGTGACCCGGAGCGGGAGCCTTGTGTTGGAGGGAGTGTTTTGGGAGCAGTAGGTTTTCGGAAGTAAAGGACAAAGCATGAAACCTACAGATCCAGGGTTTGGGTAGGAGGGGCAAGGGGCAGAGTTGAGGGGTTGAGGGTTAGGGTTGGGCCGCTTATGCTCTTGATACTTAGATGAAGAATGGGTCCAAAAACATGATCCCACCCCTTACCCATACAAGGATCCTTAGAACCATTCCCTTGTTCCCTTTCAACGGAAGCTGTGTGAAGATTCCTGGCTGCAAAGCAGCACTTGCATTGGCAAGTGAGGTTGTTGGATCGGGTAATTACAAAGTCGAAAAAGATTCCTTGCTCGGCCTCCACCGCGGATTCCATGCCTTGAAACCTAGAGCAGCTACCTTCATTGTGCTTAGATGCTTAACCCCAACCTAGAACCCAGAATTAGATTTACTCCCTGGAAGCTGAATGTCTGCCTTAGGCGTGCACTTCCGATGCTGCGCGAGTGCGAGCCCTCCATGCAGCTAGTGGTCCGCAAAAGGCGCCAAGAGACGAAATCAGCCTCAGAGCTTCGAATGTACTCCTCCTCCTCCTCCTCCTGCTCGTCCTTGTCCTCCTCCTTCTCCTGCCCGCTCCTCCACCTCTTCCTGATGAAAGGATTTATGCGAGACATCTCATCTCAGAGTACGAATTACGCGGCTAGCAGTGTAAAACAATCTTTGCAAGCGGTAATGCTGGGAATCATTGTTTTTGTGCGCAGAGATAGTCTTGATTGCAGCCGCTATGGTCATCACCCCTGCCACCATCATGTTGATGGTCACGGCTAGCCTGGGAACCTTCATATTTAACATGAAGCTGCGATCCCATCCGCTTCAGCGCGTCCTGCTTGACATTCACTGTCTTCACACCTCTCTCGGCTCCTACTGTATATTCTTATCTTAATGCCTCTGTAAAAGATGTCACTGACCTTCATGATGCAACCCTTCCCCACACCTCAAGCCTTCAAACTGGTACAGGTCCCGAGGTTTGGAACTGGAGGCTTTGGAGGAGTAATGTTTCAAGGTAGGACGATCTGCTTTGAGTCCACCTTGGAGAAAAAAAGTCAAGCTCTGGATCCCCGACTTCAAACATTGAGTGCCCCGTACTGCGAAGCACTATCTCTTGCTACCATTACACAACCACATCGCTTGTCATGTTATTGTTGCTGCTACAAGAGCTGCCAGGAAAATCTTGCCATCATCATCACACTTGAATGAAAAAGCTCAAATCCTACGCCTAACGTCCTAGACCCTAAAACCCCATGCTGGCAGGGAGTGGATCGAAAGCTGGGCCCATGGCTCCCACACAGGTGCGGCAACCAGAGTTGTTGAGAGTTTCGCGGGCTAAGCATCCTGGAGCTTCAGGGTTTTAGGGCCTTGGGGTTATCAATTTGGGGGGTTTAGGATTCTTTGGTTGAGAGTTTCAGAGCTGCGAGGTTGAGGCTGTGCTGATGTTTGGTGTTGGGGTTCTAGAGTGTCAGGTGTCCGGGCTTAGGCATGGGATCCATGCCCATTTCTGTACGTCCCTGCCGCAATCGAAGTGTCTTTCTAGAATTTCTTTAAATCCTGTACGACATGTCTCCTTCAACGGCCTCTACCGGCGCGCTTTCATGCCAACATACTTTGATGCAATGCCCGTCGTCCAAAAAACTTCCGGTAGATGTGCCTGCTACTACCTGCCTAGACGTTCACCCTCATGGCCCCTTTTCAGCGGGCAGTCATTCATGAGGGGTCTGGCTGGATGTTGTTGGCGGAAGCGTGCCTTAGCTGCTTTTGAATGGCTAGCTCTGGCATACTTGGAACGGCAATGAACACCCCGTAGCGAGACTTCCCTGGATGCCTGGTGCGATTGCTTTTTGCCACGGCCCATGTAGCTATACACCGCAAGCCTCAAGCCCTCACCCCTACCTCCGTCTTCCCCCCACACCCCCCGAATCTTGAGCCTTTAACTTCAAAGCCAGGACCTGAACCCCAAGCTCAAACTCTAGTTCCGCTTGCGTAACAACCTGAACGTCACTCTGCTCTGAGCAAGGCCAACCCGGACTTTTGCTTTACGAAGGTCCAGGAAGCCGCACCGACGGTCACTGGGTGGCGCTCATCCGAAATGAGGACTGCTAAGCTCTAGGTATTTGGAGGCTTGGTGGTTAAGGGCTTAGGAGTTGCTGTTTGTGGAAGTTGGTCAACATTGGAGGTTGTAGGCCGTTTCGGGTTCAGCGTTTGGGGTTCAGGACTTAGAGGTGTGCTGACAGCAAGCTGCTAGTATCGCAGCAGAAGACCAACTCGTGTTCCCATGGCAGACTCCACTCCAAGCAAAGAGCCCTACCCAAAAGTAAGTAGTGCTCGGACTAGATATATGCCTGTTCCCGCATTCACGACAAGCATTACCACAAGCTTCTTTCTCCACTAATGAGGACTCCCGACCGACTCCTTCAAGGCACTGAACAACTGAATTGTAGTTTCCAACAATGCAGCTCACACACAAGCGTGAAAGCCCAAAAGGGATTTACAAGGATTGCTGTCCTGGGCTTCCATGTATTTTCTTCTTTTTGGAAGTCTTTGTCCAAATCCCTTAAGACCTGTCTATGCCCTTCAAATGACCCCCCCACCACCCCCAACACAAACTCCATCCTGAACTTTTCCTAAACTCTGAACCACGGTTGGGGGATGGCCTGAAGAGGAATCCGGCATTCTTCGCCTTGATCCAATCCGTGGCACGCGGCTGTCTCAATAATACTGTTCACGGTTCAAGGGCTTCGGGGTTCAGATTTTACTGTTTCGGGTGACAGGGTTTGGGAGTTGGCTCGGGTCCAATGTTGAAGTCATTTGGGTTGTTAGCTTCAGGGTTTGGTATTAAATGCTTCGCGTTTACAGGGTCTTGCGGTGACAATCTAGGCCCAGAATGCTTTGTCCTTTGATCTAGAAGAGTTAGCCTACGCGCTCAAATAAAAAAGCGAGACTTCCCTTTTCGGCCTCACCTCCAAGATTGACACATATCTCAGTTTCAAAAAGACGTAGACCCCAACCAATCAGGGTTAAAAGCCAAGCCCTAAACCCTTGACTCTCCACCCATTCTTCTAACTCTACACACTTACACACTAAAACCTTGCAGCTGAAATCCAAATCATTCCCAGAGCCGGCTGGATTTTCTTTTGCATTGAAGTAACGACTACCGATATACAGCAACCTCAACCTAGTGCCCGGCGAAATACTTCCAAACTCTGACTTCCGACCCCTACAGTAGAGGTTCCAAAACATCCTTAAAAGCTTACCACATGAAGCCTGAACCAAAAATCGTTGCTCCTGGAAACCTGAACCTGAAATCTTAAATCCCGAATTCGCAACCCAAACTCCCAGGCATGCGAGCCCCTTCTGAGGTTCTTCCTAACTGGCACCGAAGCGTCTGAGCTTGCAGCGCGATACCCGATTTGGAGCTTGGAGCCAGCTGTGTCCGGAGAGGAAAAATGGCTTTGTGGTTTAGGGTTTCGGGGGTTAGGGTTTTAGCAGGGTTGAAGGTCCAGGGGTTGACCATGGGTGGGTTTCAAGGTTTAAGGATTTCTGGCTCCAGGACGTGGATGAAGTTCGATTGAGGTCGCGGCATGGGGCCCGAACCGCGTAGCAGACAGTCAGACAGTCAGACAGTCAGATCCGAATAGCAGACAGTCAGACACTCAGACAGTCAGACCCGAAAAGCAGACAATCAGACAGT